GAAGGATAAATGTTAGTGATATACTTCACGGTATGGTAACTACAGTCAATAATAACATTGCATATTTCAACATTACTGAAAGAATAGATTTGTCATGCTCTCACTGAAAAAAAAATGTTATGTTTTTAAGGTGATGGATATGTTAATTCGCCTGTTTGAATCTTTCTACAATGTATATATAACTCAAAACATTCCATTAGATTTCATAAATATACACAATTGTTATTGTCAATTAAAAAAACAAGAGAATAACTTTATGTTATAGATAATTCCAGTGTTTTAGAAACAAAAAATACTAAGACAAAAGGTTATTGTTATATACTGCATTTTTATGGAACATTTTGCAAATTAAGTTGCCTTCTACTATTACCAATATTTCTATGGTTGAAGGAAGATTTACCAAAAGAAAAAAAAAAAAAAGACTCAAAGTTGCAAAAACAGATAAAATGTGGAATGATAGGAATTTATTTGTGGACAAAATTTTGCACTGAATGGTTTCTACAGGAAAATCCCCTAGCACTTTTGATATAGATGATTACTAAAATTTTCTATTAATACATACCTATTAAAGAATACATCTATTGCTGTTCTGTTTTAATATGTAGATATTACCAAAGTTTTTTTCATAAAATGTAATAATCTATTTAACTCTAGAGGGTTGGCAAATCATCATTTAAGTTAAAAAAAATCACTAATATTTTTCCTTAGACTAATTTTATCTCTTTCAATTTATACAAAGGGAAAATTAAGAATGCTGTGTGGGCAGATATATTTGCTACACAGCTTTTAGAAGTGCTCTTCACATGTGCTCTGATGACCACATTACTCAGAACCATCAAGTGAGCATGCGAATAGCCAGACTCTATCCTTCTGATCTGGACTGTCCACAGGTGAGCTATTTTACTTTTCACTTTAGATTTTGTTGTATTATGTTTTTAATTGTGTGTGTGTGGTTGCTCTTGTTTTATTAAAGGGCATATATTACATCAGTAACTTCTATAATTTTAAATGCATATGCCCAGCCCCATTGTAGGACCCCCAAGTCACAATGATCTCTGAAAATATGCTTATAATTGGTCATTTTAAAACAACACCCCAGGAACAACTACTACAAAAGCTTTCCAGATGATTCTAAAAACCAGCCAGATTTAGAACCACTAGTCTAACAAAATATATACCTTAGGAAATTTTATGTCCTTACTTGTAAGTCAAATATCCTGACAGTTTTATAATTATTCAGAAAACTAAATATATACAATGACTTAAAAATCAGGAAGTATGCTAACTTCCAATATCACAGTCTTTCAGAACAAGATTTTTGGTCTTCTGCTAGGAAAATTATTAATACTTCAAACTGACTTTAGGTTATAATTTCAGGTAAAGTGTATCAGATTTCAAATACAACACCCTTGAAGCAGCTGTTCCAGTACAGTATGTATTGCACTCTACAAATCTTGATTTATAGTAGAAACACAAAAAAATGAACTATTTCACATCAAAGCCTCAGAGTCCCAGAAACTTAATGCTTTTTATATTAGTACTGGTTTCTCATGAGTATCTCTGAGTTGAAATAAACTCAGTGGCTGACTCTTCCTCATCTATTATCAGTTTTTCCAACCTAAAACTTGAATAACAACAACGTTTGAAGTAAATAAGCATATTGTTGTTCTAAACAGACAAAGTAACAGACCACATAATTCTGGATACACCGGTTAGGTAAGTTTGACATTAGGTTAGGGAAGTTTTCAGCTTCTGTTTCTTCACCTGTAATATGGGATAATAATAAAATAAAATAGCACTGTTATAAGAAGTAAAAGAATGAAAAACAGGTAAACAGCCTAGAAAGTGCCTAACACTAATTGTGAGTAATAAACTTTTATCTCTATTCATCTGAGCTCTCAGGAGATAAAGTCATAGTCTTAGCAATTAAAAGCCACAGTGTGAATTTGGATTTGGCTTTAAAGTTTGTGTTTTTTATTTAGTATTCTGCCTCTCTCAATTTAGGCATTTATCCAACACATACTAACTCAATGCCATGTGGGTATAAAGCACTAGTCTAGGCACCATGCAAGTTAAAGAATTTTTTAAAAAGACATCTTGCCTCTAGATTATTTTGGAATAGAAAATGAGAAATACACATAAATATAAGATGAAAGTCAGCACTGTAAGAGGCAACTATATGGGAATTTTGAGGAGGCAGTAAAAAGTTAATTCCAGTTGATAAGTGTTCCAAGACTGGAAGTGGGGGGGGTCAGACAGTCACCATCACGATGTGGGTATAAAGACAGCTACACAAACGGTACCAACTCAGCAGGGGCCAGCAGCAGTGGAAGAATTTGGCCACACACACTCTAAGGTCTCTCCATCTACTGGAATGCTGTTCAAGGTAAAGGTTCTCTGAAATATTATCACCAAATATCCACATTAATAAACATTGGGGTTTTCTTGTCCTCTGGATCCTGAAGACAACAGTTGAAATAAATAATTCACATGAGTGAGCTTATGATTCCATAAAGCTATGTCAGAGGGACAGCATCCCACAGTTGGACAGCAAGAGCTCTGCACCTCAATCTGGCTAAGGTTACTTATAGAGAAAAGAGAGCACTGCTACCTAATGATAACTACGTAGCCATAGAGGGAAAAATCTGTTGGCATCTGCCCAAAGCCCAGTAAGCAGATGGCCATGGGCACAGAAACCATCATGACAATTGGCACCTTTCTGGGATGCGCTGAGCAGGAAAGGGGCCTGGAAAATGTCCTTCTTTGGCTGCCCTTCCATCAGAGGCATATGGCTAGTACAGGATAGGGAAAGCTGCCTGACTGCTGCCAAGGGGAGCAGAGATAGCCTTTAAAATCTAGGCTACTGCAGCTTCCTGGGTAGTCAATCTGGTACCTTTCAGCAACCAGAGACCATCTTAAAGATCCGTGTGCATGCTGATTTCCTCTAGGACAGATGATATCCAACAGATTCCATTCGAAGGTGTCTCATCAGGTAAGAAGCAGCCAAGCTCCAAGAGGATAGAGGAGTCCGAGTCCTCCAAAGCCAGGCCTCATATGTCAGGTAAACAGTACAGGATTGTTTTATCTGTGATTTTATTCTTAACAAGGTGGCTCTAGATAACCAAGAGCATGTATGTTTTCCAAGGTTAAGTGCCACCAGATGACTAGGCTTGTTAGCTGGTGGAAGGGTCACCATCGGTAACAATCTGTTTTGCAGTGGCTTGCTCAATAGGAATTTTTAAAAGTTGAAGAAGATCCATTTTCCTGAAATGTATGATCTTGTCCTATTTATGATATTGCCTAACTTTTCAAGAAACTACATTAAGCAATGGACATTAAAACATTTCTCTAACAACAGATATACACAAAACACACACACACGCTCACACACACGCACACACACATGCTCACACACTTAGTTTTTATTTGCCATTGAGCAGGCTTCTCGGAATCAACAGCAAATAAAGTAAGTATCAAACTGCTGGCCTGAAACCCAAGAAATAACAACTGAATTTCAGCAACAAAGACTTCTGACTCGAAAACCACTGATACAAGATAGATATTACAATATGAATTACATTTGCATAATATTTGACTACTTTTCACTGTTATATCAGTTTTAAATATAGTTGAGAATTGCCCCCACTCCAAAAAAAAAAAAAAAATTCACAAAATGTCACAGCAGCCAGTGCATTCAACAACTGGTAGAAAAGACAGCACTTTCTCAACTTTGATTTATATTATTTTTAAAATAAGTTACATAAACTGTTTTGTTTTATAAAAACAGATCTTTACGGCAGTAAAACCTAGTTATTTCAGTTGTCTTAGAAATTCAAATAGTTTAGCAGTAAAGATTTCTGATTACTCAATAATCTTCTCATATCAACCAGAAAATGGCTAGTGTAGAGGAGTCTGATCACAGCTTTGGTGAAGACAAAGAAGCTGTAATAAGCGGCTGGCTGCAGATATTATATTATTTCATAATAGCAAATAACACTTGATCATATATATGAAGTATTACGTACAATAATAGCTTAGTTAATGATGACAATCCCATGACCAGGGAACATAATACGCAATTCATTTATATTGAGATTGTAACAGACTATCCCAAAAATGTAATTATCATGCAACTAAAATACATAAGAGACTGAAGTAAGTGCAGAGGAAGTTGGGTTGAGAAATAAAAAGTAAATAAACTCATATATTTAGATATAACTATTACTTTCCAGGAGTATATATTTCAAAACTGTTCCACAAGAAAGCAAGTAATCTTGTTAGTTAAGGTACTCTCTCATTTCCATGGTGGAGAAGGGACTTTATTTTTAGGGAGGTAACTACTGAACTCTATCCCCTTACTGACCTCTTTTCAAACAATAGTGTGACCACTCAGGCATGGCCTGGGGCCATGGCCCCTCCCTGACTGTGCCAATAGATTGTGAATGAGTCAGTGGTCTTCCATGGGACTGGCCTATCATTAGCCTGTGCTACAAGTTTTCCTGTGGGCAGCCCCTAAATTGTTAATGGATAGGAAAAGAAGTGATTAAGTCTCAGACTTCATCTTTTCAGATTTTTTTTAAGATGAACTATACCTTTCTCCGCATCACTGTAAACTTAATGAACCAAGAAATAGACCCCAGACTTCTGGCTTTGACCTCTTGTTTTCACTCACCTTTTCTTTGATAACTGATGCCACAAAGTTTGTTGATATAAAATGAGATCTGTGCCTAAATTAAGAAGAGAAATCTGATCCACAATGTGTTGGGTTAAGTTTGGGCTCATTCCAATATGACCCATTTAAAATATTGTTTGGTTTTAAATCATCAAGCCCAACTTTTTAGGAGAGCTACTTGAGTAAAATAAAATGCTCCTCAAAGTAAGCATGAAAAGCAATTGCAAGTAAACTCTTTCAAGCAAGTTAAAATAGAATATGCTATAAAGAAGTGCTACCCAATGTTAAAACACAATTAGCTCACAATGTAGCATTGAAACATGAATACCTCCAGCCAAGATCTTCTCTTCCAACTCCGCCATTTGCTTTTTATAGGCCCTTAAAGCTGCTTCTTTGAAAGAAGGACGAATTCTCTTTGGCTTTGTGATCTCCACAGGCTGTTCAGGAATGTTCTGATTTTCATCTTCTCCTATTTCCATCTCAGCTGATGTTTCATTTAAGGGTTCTAATCCCTCTTCACTAACCACATCATCTGCCAGACCATCATAACCCTCATCTTGTGGAGTTTCATAAGGTGTTTCATATGAAAGGTGATCATATTCTTGCATTTGTTCATCTGTTTCAATAATACTAGTCCTGTTTTCTAGTTTAGCAAGGACTTGTTCCATCACTTCAACATAATCTGTTTCATTTTCAGCCACTGGTTCACTATAATCCTCCTCATCCTCTGCTTTATAGTAATAGGGTTCCGTGTAGACATCAGAATCAAGTGTGGTACTTGACTCATTTGCAGTTGATTGAGATAATGTCCGAAATCTCCCCATTAATGAAGAGCCACTGTCCTCATACCCACTCAGACTCTGTGTGCTTTTGTTCCATACGACTTCCAAGGCAGACCTAGCCCTCTGCAGAGTAGATCCAAATTTTGGGAAGCTGAAAGTCTTATCGGAAAGGTCAATGCTTAATCGACTATGCCATGATTTGGGTGGGGCATCCTCTGAATCATCACTTTGCAGTTCACTTTGACTTCGATAGATCATGGACAACTGGTTTTGATTTTGGTATAGCTCATTAGAATTAGCTTCCTGATAAGAGTCATATTGGCCAAGCCACTGGCCTTGTGGTTCATTATCCAAGCCAGGGCATGGAGAAGAGTTGTCATCTTGAGTTAAGTCGTAGCTCTCTGAGTCATCTTGAAGGTCACTGCGGCACTTTCCCAAGTCTTCCAGGTCTTTATGGTAAACACCAAGCTGTTGGTCAGAAAAACTGTTTGTTTCATAATCAAAACCTTCCTGTGTAGATGAATCCAAGCCTAAATCAGCTCCTTGCTCTACTTGATTCCATTCCTTCCATGGAGAAAGATCCTCATGTAAAGAGAGCTGGGAATCACTGTAACGACTTTGGTCTCCAGATGCACACACCATGCTATTAGTCATTCCACTATCCACAGTTTCTGTGTTTTCAATTTCAGTCTGCCCTTGGATACCCTGAATACTTCCATTCAAACGCTGGTCCTTGGGACTGTCATACAGGGTAGCTGTTCCTTCCTGTTTCCTCTGCCATAGCTCCCGGTCCGAAGATGACAGGAGAGAGCTTCCATTAGTTCTGGTGAAAAGCTGATTTTCTGAGAAATCCTCTGAGTAAGACTGACACAGTTTAGAAAAATCTGATTCAGAACGACTAAGTTTAGCAGTGAAAAAATCACTCTGTGAGTGCCAGAGAGGTGTTGCATCTGCATAATGGGTTGTGGTTTGCTTTTCCAAGATATCTGATTCTGGCAACTGTGAGGAGATCTTATCATAATCTGATTTATTTGAAATTCTGCTGCCATTAGCAGCTTTATTCTTGGATCTAGCACTGTGTGATTTTGCGCTTGGCTTGGAAGTACTTCCTTTTGTTGGAAGCTCTGACTTGGAAAGCACAGCGTAACTGTTTCTATTGAGGTCAGATTCAAGATCTTCATCACTGTCATCAGGTGACTGCCAATTGTTCTTTTTGATTTTTAACTCTGGAGTAGACAACTTTATATCCATGCTCTCATATGTCTGAGAGGATGGTATCCCTTTCTCTTTTCTTTCTCTGATGTCATGAGTTAGAATATCTGTTGAGATTCCAATGCCTGTTCCTTTGAGTTTATATGATTTTTTTAAGACAGAATCCCTTTGCTGAGGGGTTTCAAAGTACACAAGTATGGGTCGAGGCTTTGCATTTGGGCAGTCTCTCTGGTGCCCTATCCTCTGAGCAAATTCAATTTTAATAGCATTTGGTGCATCTGAAAAACCCATTTTATCTATTAGAATTTGGTACACCACACTTTCAACATACTCAAATCTCTCCTCAGGCACATTTAAAAATCTCAAGCTTGCCTTGCTACCCATATGACCTAAGTGTTTAATATAATCATGGATGTCTCTGGTTTCCCTTCGAGACTGGACAAACCCTGTACGTAGTTGCTCAATTTCACTTTGTACAACCTCCACGCTGCTGGAGATTTCATCGATGGAATGTTTGAGAGCATTGACGTGCCCTCGTAGTTCACAAAGTTCTGTTTCTATCTGACTTATTCCCTGAAGTTCCTTAAAGATCATTTCCATGACATCATGTGTTTGGCTAATGCAGCCAGAGGAACTGAAACCTGGATCCAGGGAATTTGTCTTTGGGTTTCGAGCAGTTCTGTCCAAAGACTTGCTTCTTATTCCCCAGGATTTTTTCATGGTGCTTAACTCTGAGTCTGAGGAGACACATTCTTGACTCTTTTTCCATTTTCTCAGTTTTCGTAAAGCTCCCAGTTTTAAGCTATGCAGAGTACGCTCCCCATCGGAGCTACCCTCAGAGGGTGCAAGGCTGCTTGAGCTCTTTCTGTTGCGTCTAACTGGCATTGTGTGTATTGGTTGTGCCTGGTTTTCTGTGCTACTCCTTAGTTCATTTAATGATTCTGAGTAGGAACTCTCAATTGAAGACAGCTCTTGAAGCAGATCCTCATTATCACTGGCGATTACTTTAGTATTCTTCTGTAGACCATTGGCAATAGCTACTCGGTAACTGAATGTTGGTGAGAGGGAAAACTCTTTACTAGCCTCGTCTTCCTCAGTGGATAAGTTGTGAGTGGACGAACACTTTGCAATCTTCTTTACAGTGCTTTTAAAGGTGTAAGAAAACTTGGGGGATTTGCTCTGGCCAGCAGTAGGAAAGTCTTGATCCTTTTTCGGCTGACGATTCTCTTTTTTTTTGTTTGTATTTCCCAATTTCTTTGTAAACATTCCTTTGCACAGCTTATGAATGTAAGGTAATATCAAGCTCTTGAAAAAATTAGCCACCATGGAGAGCAATTGTGCAAGCTTTTCTGCCCCAAATTAGTAAAGAAGGTAGCAGGATGAAAATCTGAAAATCCAAGGCAAGCATCACTGTTCAGATATTCTGTGCATCATTGGAAAGAGCAGGAAGGGCAGGCATGGCTCCCCCACATTGTCGCTATCCTGTGCCAACCAGAAGCAAAGCTCCATCTATGAAAGACATTCTTTCCTGGAGGAGGAGTTTCATGAATCTCTCTCATTTCCACATAACTCCATGTAGCATCTAAAAAGAAATGAATGTTAAAATATGTTAAAATAAATATCAGAGTTCAATTCTAGATTTATTCCATTTACAACATATTTCAAAAGTCTTCATAACACACAATGTATGAAAAATTGCAGAAGAGGTAGGAGAATATATGAATTTCAATACACATTTACTTTTAAAATAATTAGTTAAAACAAATCAGTACCAATAACTACATTTATAATGTTTTTTGATAAACCACTTCTGGGTGGACACAACTGAAATAGTAATAAAAGGTAATAATGATTATTCAGAAAACCTTGAGTAATATGACCAGCAATTTATACAGCCATATTAACTTCATAAAGCCATTTGTACTTTACTTTCTTTCCTAATGTCATGTTTACTTACACAAACATAAGAATTTAAATCTAAGTATATTCCCCTCATATTCCAGACACTCAAAATTCACAAATTAATATTATCTATGTATTTAAAACCTATTTTTATTCATTCAAATAATCTTTTCCTGACTACACATATAAGAAATCTCTATGATGAGTAGTTTCTTGAATTATGTGAAGAAAAAGAAAATAAAGCTTACTTTTAATTTTGCTGATTTACCAGCACAGGGCCTTACATGGAATAGGAACTCAAATTTTTGTTGAATTGAATTTACCGTTTTGGCAGTGAAATATTCCCAGAATAACAGTAACAGTCAAAAGGCTTTGTTGGTATTCCAGTATGTGTTTGGGTAGATAATCTGTTTAATTCATTAAAGAACACATCATGGACTACAGATTGTCTCAGAAATTTGCTCTTTTATCAGCTCCCTTAACTTGGAAATCTGCCAGTTTCACTTCAGTCAGGCTCTGTAGGGGATTTGGGGATACATGCTCTGGCCAGGAGCCAAGCTTCACAAGAGACAGAGGAGTGTAAATGAGAATAGGAGAAGAAAAGACAGAGGGAAAGAGATGAACTCCAAAGAAGTCTAAGTCTGTCTGGTTTTCACAAATTATCAGAATATAACCCTTCTTCCTAGAAATAATTTGGTATTCATTCACAAACACAAACCATGAATGTACCTATGCAACAATCTTGCATGATCTGCACACATACCCCAGAATCTAAAGTAAAATTTAAAAAAATCATTTTTTATTCTCTTGTGTGACATCTCCTTGTGAAGAAAAGGCTTTGGAAAGTTGTGATGCAATAGGGTAAATTATTTTTAAACCAATTTTGGTAGAATAAAATTTTCTGCCAATCATTCAATCCAAAATCCTTGGTCTTTCAAACTTAGAAACAAATGCTTCTTTTTGCTTAAATCAAAGTAGCAATTCCATTAATGCCTCTGATATTTTCAAATCTAAATCTCCTGACTGGCATTACTGGTTCAAAGTTACTGTTCTAGGCAATAATTGTTAGAAAAAGTTTGAGCAGGAATGTTCAATGTGAAGTAAAGCCCACCAAATGCAAACTCAGTCCACAGTTGCAAACACAAACCCAGTCACAGAAAGCAACCTGTTATTCACTAAGGGCTCCATATTTTTTCATGCCTCAGTAACTTTTATTTCCTCTCTACCCAGTATATCATTCATTATCCAGCCCTCGCTATCTTTAATAATAATGCTGAAACTCAAAACCATTTTTGCAACCACCCAAACTGAGCTCATCTCTCTCCTACCCACTCTTTTGTTTTGTTCTCTTTTTATTTATTTTTTGTTTAAAAAAAATAAAATTCCACAGATTTTTGGGAAACAACTGGTATGTGGTTACATAAGTAAGTTCTTTAGTGGTAATTTGTGAAATTTTGATGCATCCATAACCCAAGTAGTATACATTGAATCCAGTTTGTAGTCTTTCATTCCTCCCACACTTTTCCCAGAGACCCCAAAGTTCATTGCATCACTCTTATGCCTTTGCATCCTCTTAGCTCCCACTTATGAGTGACAACATATGATGTTTAGTTTTACATTACTGAAATACTTCACTTAGAATAATAGTCTCCATCCATGTTTCTGGGAATGCCATTAATTCGTTCCTTTATGGCTGAGTGGTAACATCATACACACACACACACAGACACACACACACACACACACAGCATTTCTGTTGGAAATATATATATCTGCAACAGATGAATGGATAAAGAAAAAATATATTTATCACTATTTCTTTATTCATTTATTCATTGATGGGCATTTGGACTAGTTCCATATTTTTGCAATTGTGAATCGTGCTGCTGTAAACATGCATGTGCAAGTATCTTGTTTTGTATAATGATTTATCCTCTGGGTATACACCCAGTAGTGAGATTCCTGGATCTAATTGTAGTTCTACTTTAGTTCCTTTATATATATATTTTTTAAGTTAGGGGGCACATGTGCAGATCCTGCAGGATTGTTACATAGGTATACACCTACCATGATGGTTTACTGCATCCATATCCCTATCACCTACATTAGATATTTCTCCTAATGTTATCACTCCCCAATGCCCCCATCCCCTACTATCCCTCCCCTAGTCCCCTCACCCCCCAGCAGGATCCGCTGTGTGATGTACCCCTCCCTGTGTCCATGTGTTCTTGTTGTTCGACACCCACTTATGAGTGAGAACATACGGTGTTTGTTTTTCTGTTCTTGTGTCCGTTTGCTGAGAATGATTGTTTCCAGATTCATCCATGTCCCTGCAAAGGACATGAACTCATTCTTTTTTATGGCTGTATAGTATTCCATGCTGTATATGTGCCACATCTTCTTTATCTAGTCTATCATTGATGGGCATTTGCGTTGGTTCCAAGCCTTTGCTATTGTAAACAGTGCCACAATGAACATACATGTGCTTGTGTCTTCATAACAGAACAATTTATAATCCTTTGTGTATATACCCAGTAAAGGGATTGCTGGGTCAAATGGTATTTCTAGTTCTAGATCCTTGAGGAATTGCCACACTGTCTTCCACAATGGCTGAACTAATTTACACTCCCACCAACAGTGTAATAGTGTTCCTATTTCTCCACATCCTCTCCAGCATCTGTTATCTCCTGATTTTTTAATGATCACCATTCTAACTGGCATGAGATGGTATCTCAATGTGGTTTTGATTTGCATTTCTCTAATGACCAGTGATGATGAGCATTTTTCATATGTTTATTGGCTGCATAAATGTCTTCATTTGAGAAGTGTCTGTTCATAACTTTTGCCCACTTTTTGATGGAGTTTTTTCTTGTAAATGTGTTTAGTTCTTTAAGGTTTCTTCACACTGTTTTTCATTGTGGTTGTACTAGTTTACATTCCCACCAGCAGTGTATTTTTAGTTTTTTTTTTGAGGAACCTCCAAACTGTTCATCATAGTAGCTTTACTAATTTTCATTCTCATGAACAGAGTATGAGGGTTCCCTTTTCACCACAGCCTCTCCATCATTTATTATTGCCTGACTTTAGGATAAAAGCTGTCTTTATCAAATAATCTGCACACATTTCAGCTGCTTGGTATCTCCACCTAGTTTCCTCAAATTAAACTCTATCCAGAACTTTGTAATTTTCCTGAATCAGTAATCTCAATAATGTCATCATAATTATCCGCTTGGCCACAGCATATACCCAGGAGTCATTCTAGATCCCGTATGACCCACCCCATGTCCATACCTGAGGCAGCATAGTAATGCCTTAGTTCTGAACTCAGTCATCTCCTCATCTGGACTATGACAGTTGTATCCTACTTGGTCATCCTAAGGATAATTTGACTCTTTTTTCAAATCCGAAATTTCTAAAATTAATACAATTAAAAATATATTAGACTTCCTTCTTGAAACACTATTTAGCAGTCTTAGTTTCTTTCACTCCCTTAAGCATATCTATCTCAGCCGTGGTGAAGTAGTAGCAGTTCCCTGATTACCCTATTTTTACCTCCATAGAGGGCCTTTTTAAACGCTGTTCCTTCTTCCCTCAATTCCTTTCCCCGTCCCCTCTCTATTCACATCTCTTTCATAAATGTCGATAGAATATCCATACATTTGAGACTGAGCCAAGGATCAAAATCAGCTCATTTGATCTCCTCAGAGTACAGCACTTCCTCCTCTGTGCTCCCGCAATGCCTTGCATGTACCTTTGTCATGGTAACTCTCAAAATATTGTAATTATTTATGTAAAATATTTTATCTGTATGTCTGCCTCTCCAATGTGACTGTAAACTCTTGAAGAGTAGGAGCCATGTTCTATTTAACTTTAAATTTTTATAGCCATTGATACATAATAGACTCATACAATTTTTCAGATAGATGATTAAATAAATGAATGAAAGTAATAAACCCATGAACTAACAAATGAACAATATAGATTCCAATAAGCCTGAACTGGCTGCACTGGGCCTTACACAATCCAGAAAAGGAGAAGCAGTGTGAGCAGAGGGAAGCATCTGAGACAGTCATGTCTTGTGCAAAAATGGAGAAGCATCCACTTTGTCCAGAGAGGAATGCTTTTGATGGGGAGCGGAGAATTGACAAAATAGAATAAAAATATAGAGAGTTTTGAAATTTAAGAAGTCCTAATTGAGGAGGAGGCACTAATGGTTATTGGCTTTTAGCAGAGTCCCTTGATACAGATTATCTGCAATGGAATCCCAACTCTGTGATACACTCTATGTGAGATTATAAGAAAATTACTTCCTTGGGAGGTTGGGTAGGTGGATCACTTGAGGTCAGGAGATTGAGGCCATTCCAGCCAACATGCTGAAACCCTATTTCTACTAAAAATACAAAATTTAGCCAGATGTGGCAGTGCATGCCTGTAGTTCCAGCTACTCAGGATGCTGAGCGAGGAGAATTGCTTGAACCCAGGGAGTGGAGGTTGCAGTAAGCCGAGATCATGCCACTGAACTCCATCCTGGCAAGAGAGGGAGACTCTGTCTCAATAATAAAAAATAATAATTACTTCCCTACTGCTTTATCTTGCAAATTACTTATGTTGGGACAGAAATAGTATCCCCTTATAGGATAGTTGTAAGGTTTAAATACATCAATACATGTAAATTTTTTG